AGCCCTAAACCCTGGAAACCCCCAAAAGCCACTAAGAACCCTTCGCCCATGGAGCACCCAAAGGAGACCAGGGACCCCCAAAAATCCCCCAAATAAGGAGGCCCAGGCTCGGAACGGAGCTTCCTTCCAGGCAGCTCTGCACGGCCTGGAAAGGCCCGGGTGGGTCGGGGTTAGGGGGTTTAGGGGTTAGGGGATGTTTAGGGCCGGCTTAGGGCCGGTTTTAGGGGTTTTTGGGCTAAGGTTTTAGGGCTTTGGGCTTATATAGGGCTTGGGGTTTCGGATTTCAACGTTCCTTTGGCACGAAGTTCTGGGTTGAGGGGCTTTGGAATTCAGGGTAGTTGGATTCAGCTTGCGTTTGTTTTGGCTCCAACTGCTCTCTGCCGGATTCCGTTTTTTTTGTGGCTTGTGATGCGGGAGATCGAATTAGGGCTTTAGGGTGTTCTTCCCCGCAGAGGCCATGGTTGCGTTTAGGGCTAAGGGTCCGCGCGATCGGCAACGGAGCCTTGGCACCAAACACTGAAGCCATCATGACCGTGTACGTCCTGAAAACCCACAGGCACAAGAATATCTTCTCCCGGCTTTCCAGGCGATAAGCTCAAAACGCAATCTTACTACAACAAAACCGACAATGCACGGTAAAGTCTCCAAAGACTTCGGCACCAAAGCCCGATTCGAGACCCCGTCTCCCCCATCCGCCCTACACCGCGCGACTTTGGGCACAACCTCTTCTGAAAACCTGGTAAAATAAAAACAGAAAGGCCCGCAAAAACACCCTATATGAGTCCAGGTTACCCACAGGCCCCTAAGTTATTTCTTTTTATGGTTTATACTTAGAATCCTTTAAGGTAATCCCAAAAAGGAACTACTTAGGGGCCTGTGGGTAGAGCCCGGCGCGTCGGAGGCCTGATCCACGGCCGCTGGAGCTGGGCACTTCTGCAAACAGCGCACCTGCCGCCAGCTTCCGCGGATCTCTTTTTGGTGGAACCCCTTTTTCCGGTCTTGTTCGCGCGGAGCGCAACGGAATCCGTTCTAGGGTCTAGGGTCCTTTGGGGCCTAGGGTTCCTTAGAGGCTCCTTTAAAGGGAAGGGTTCGATAAGGAAACCCCTAGAGGCTCTAAGATGTATACCCTAAACCCTAAACCCGTTGGGTCCTAGAAGAATTGTGAGCCACGAGTTTCAGACTCAGGGCTCTGCGGTCTGGGCTTTACGCTTATAAGGCTTTAGGCGTTTGTAGGCCCTTGAGATTGCAAGGTGTGTGTTGGTGCTTCAAGTTTTAGGGTTGAGGGCTTTTGGCTTCAGGGTTTCGAGTGCTGGGTTCAGGCGGTGATTGTCCTGATGATCTTGGGCATACCTTCTATCACAGAAGAGTTGGCCTCGTGAGAGAAATGGAGAAGAAGAGGAGGAGCGAAGGAGCCAGCAAAACGACCTCGAGTACCGAACGAACAGCCCCAGAACAAAGGAAAACTGGGCCGATACCCTGGAATCCTCTTCAGCCCATGAGGCATGCAGCCCGATATATTTCACCAAAGCTCAGAGCCCTGGATCCCTAAATTGCCTAATGTAGGGGCCTTGATAAGTAGAATAGGGTTCCCTAATCATAATAAGTAGAGCATAGGTAATTACTTAAGGCCCCTATAACAGCGGCCTCGGACCAAATCCCGTCAGAGCAAACCGCCTGTCACGGCGGTCTTCTAGGGGTCCAGGGGCTTTATGGTTCAGGGCTTCGTGGGGTCTAAGGTTAAGGTCCAATGTTTCGGGGATTTAGTTGGAGGGTGCTTTGGGGCTTCAGGTTTTAGGCGTAGTGACGGGTTGATGACGCTTTGGGGTGTCAGCACTTGGTTGTGGCTAGGGAAGCTGGGGTCAGAGCGACAAGACGTTTAGGCAAATTCCAGAACCTATGGACCTTGAATTCCTTCAAAACCAATCATCCTGAAATTGCAACAACAATAAATGCTGGAACCCGACTCCGAAACGGGTTCTATATTCCATCCGAATGCATAGCTGAAACTCTGTACATAACCTTCTTTAAATTATTGACACATCTGGTTCGGTAGTCAAAGGTCATCGAGGCATTCCAGCTTCGGAGAACTAGTAACTACAAGTAGTGATCTGAGTAAATAAACCTAGAGTGACACACAACGACTGCCAACAACAAGTAGTGATGACATAAGAGACGCTCAATGATCGTGAATCGTAACCACTAGCACGCAGGCACCGTCGCAAGCACACACCTCAAAGACCCAAACCGTGACTAGGGTGGCAAGGTAGCCCCGCAGTGGCATGTTACGGTAGGCGTGTTTATCTGGCCCTGCACGCAGAGTACAGAGTCTGGAGGTCGGAAGAAGTAGCAGCTATGTCCACTTGCAGCCCTTGCGTTTAGCTGTAGGTTCCTATGCACCGAAACCCCGTCGCACAATCAGGCATGTTATGGAAGCAACCCAGCATGCTCTGCACGACTTGAAATCATGCCAGCGAAGCTGTTGACTGTCCTGGTGGAGGGGAGAAGCCATCAGCACCTGGTAAGCTAACCCGTCATTAGCCCCTGAATCCAAGCACGCTAACCAACCCCCTAGATACCCTTAAACCTCAAACCTTCAACACGCGAACGCTTAATCCCAAGCGATGCTAACACAGAAGCACTACAGCAGATCCTAAAGATTTCAAAAGTGGAGATCAGGCCTGCAGGCCATGAGGCTCAAGCCCCAAACCGTAACCCCCAATCTTTCTCAAACCCCTAGATTCGGTTGCAGCTGCAGAAATTGGAGCTTCGGAGCCAATAGCATGAAAAACCTTGATCCTTGCCAGGGCCTCTTCTCTATCGCCGGCTGAAGCTTCATGCCCCTTGCTTCCGCTATGCCACGCAGATAACCCCCTTAACAACTAGGAGCCCTGTTTAAGCCCGGAGCCCCATAAGCTTAAACCCCGAACTCTGAGACCTCAACGGAATGGTAACTTTGGGATCAGAATGCATGGTTTGGGGATTGGATGCCCAGCATGAATAAGACCTCGACACAAGGCCCAAAACACCCGAGCCCTGAGGACCGGACATTGGATCTCGCAGGTGGCTCCCGAGGGACGGCCGCTACAGCCCAGGATCTTAGCGGTTTAGCGGTTTCGGGTTTCGGGAAAGGGAGGCAGAACGAAAAGCCTTGAAGAATTTCGGGGATTCTGGGGGTTGATCGTGCTTTTGGTGGGGCTTACTTCCACCAGACCAAAATTACACAGAAGTTCCAAACACATCCAAAGCCTGCGCGCTGTCAATCTTCAAGTCGGATGTTTGAGCTACCCATCCCGAGACCCTCAACGCGTGGCTGTAGCCGACTGAGGTATGGGCCGGCAGAGCATTGACAACGAAGGGCGGCTCATAGCAAAGCTTGATGCAGGATGCATTGCTGAAGACTCCGTCCTTGCGATGTGGATTTCAGAGCTGCAGCCGGGTTGAGAAGTGCAACCAGCAATAATAGGCAGACTACAAGTCCAAGTCTAAGGAGAAGATATTGAAACGAACAGCAAGAGCGAGCACGGTAGCAATGTCCATGCTTGCTTTCTTCGAGACTTTTAGGGAGAGGGGCAAGCACATTGGGATCTCGAACCTCATCGGCCTGGGGTTCGCGATTTGGGTTGGCGGTTTGGGTTTAGGGCCTGGGCTTGCAGCTTGAGAGGGAAAGACAAGTAAAGCAGGCCCACAAAGCTCTAAGGGGTAAAAGACGGCTGCATTCAGAAATTCAGGATTCGGTCTGATATTGTAAACAACAAAAGAAGAGATCTGCGATGGGTAAAAACAAAGCAGCCCAACCAAATTGGGGCTGCAAGGGTCCGGATGCTGATCCTCGGTTCAAGTTGCTGGTTAAACTCGACTATACATACCTAGACATACACATGTCCAAAAACAACCTCGTTTCGGTAAAGGCTTCCCCAATGGAGCCATACACCGCCAAAGGGCCCGTCAGTGCTGGGCACCCGGCGTTGCACACCAAGTCCCCGCTCTTCACATGTCCTCTTTGGATCTGAGCTTGATTCCGGAGTAAACCCGAAGCCTCGATATTGCCGGATCTTGGACGATATTTTGGGTTTATCGCTCGAATGATTTGGGAGACCTTTCGGACATTGCTAAACCAGGCAACCTATGGATACGCAAAAGCCAGCAAGGCCACACACACACACACATGTATGTCTATATATAAATGAATATATGCATATGTATATGTGAGTATGTATGTGAGTATGATATGTATGTATGTATGTATGTACGTACGTACGTAGGTAGGTAGGTAGGTAGGTAGGTAGGTAGGTGGGTAGGTAGGTAGGTAGGTAGGTAGGTAAGTAGGTAGGTCAGGTAGGTAGGCAGGCAGGCAGTGTGTGTGTGTATGTGTATGTATGTATGTATGTATGTATGTATGTATGTATGTATGTATGTGTGTATGTATGTATGTATGTATGTATGTATGTGTATATATATATATCATCATCATCATCATCTTCATCATCATCATCATCATCATCACCAGTGATACCCAAGCCCTTTGCACACGGAAATAGACATACTAATCAACACGTAAGAGCTAAGGCAAGAAGTCGCCGTCCTCCGACGCAGGGCAGCTCGCAGGTCTGGTTGTGCAAAGTTCCGGAGCACTGCACCAGCAGAGGCTGGTCCTGGGAATGGGGTTCAGGGTTTGAGGTTTAGGGGAATATTCTTTAACACAGAGGCTCTAAGGTTTTTCGAATCTAAGGGGCTGAAGGGACTATAAGGCTTAAAATTCGTGCTTACTTGAGGGCGTAGGGGTCTTTAGGATTTCATGGAGGAGTATGCAAGGGGTGGGGACGAGGGTTTACGGATTTGGGACTGCGGTTTCAGAGTTAAGTATGGGTAGGGGCTTTCTGAGATTGCAACATAAGGTGTTGCGGTCAGGGTCGGGCGTGAGAACGGATGTTCTGACTGTCGCAAAGGAGCAGCGTGATTCAGAGAGATCTACATGTCAAAGTCCGCGAAGGCGTCCCTTCAACCCTCAGGACGAATAAGGATCCCTCAGAGTGGCGGTGGCCATGTGGGGTCATTTGTAAGTACAGAAGTTTCATGGGCACTTTCCTCTAGGTCCGTAGCCTTCGATGCTGCTGGTGCTGGAGTTCGTGATGCTTTCTCGTGGAACCCTGGGCTGTGCCTTGAAACAAACGGAAGTCGGGCTCCTCTTGGGACCCGAGGATACTAGAAGGACCCATGAAAGGAGCTTTGGCCCTCGGGGTGGAGCCATGAACTCCCCAAAACTGCAAACCCAAACGACCGCGGGTTCTCAGCATCGGGCAGCGAAGTTGACGGTGGGCACCTGGAGGGTGTTCTGCTCGAGTTTACGGATTTCGAAACAAATCGAGCATGGAGCACTAAGCCCTAAAGAGCCTTTAAGCTTCCCACGGCACACATCCTGCAAGAACTACCTTCAAACCCGTGGACACACATTAACACATGAAAGCTTGATCATCCCATATGCGGATCTTTCAGCCATGGTCCGAGCCGCGAGAGGCCGGAAGCTCGAAGCCACTATAAAACCCCCCGGTAGGACCTACCATAACCCGTATGTTGCCCATCTAGCAACCCTACATTGACAAGCAAAACATCCGTAACCGAAGCCCTAAACCCTAAACCCCTAAACCCTAAACCCCTAAATCCTAAACTAGGATCCCGGCCCGGTTGCAAGCGGCCCGGCAGAAGAAGCTGCTCGGGGACAGCACTCCGTCCTCATGCCAGGGCTGTCTCTGGTGTCCGTTGAAGTTTAATCGTTTTGAGGCTGGGGGCTGGAGTTTTAACAGCTTCGGATGTCGGGTTTAGCGTTTTTAAGGGATCCAACGAGTCGGAGCCTCCGCGTTCCCATGCCAGTATACATGAAATTAGGGTCTGAGGGTCAGGTTACGGTTTAAAGCTTAGGGGGTCTTAATACACTCAACATGAATCGGTCCCATAATACCCTTATGAGAGCCTTGGGGTCATGCTTGGGGCTTACATAGGGTTTAGGCGTTTCAGGACCGTGGCCATGTTTGTCAAGGTCCCGGGCATTACAGGTGAGCTGAAGAAGGCCGGCTGGAACTTCCGCGGTGAAGCCTGAACAGGCGTGAGAAACTCGAGTCACGGGTTTACAGAGTGCTGGGTTCAGGGGTTCTTGGAAGAGGATCTTAAGGTGTAGAGTTTCCCCTCTAAGCCGCCCTGAACTTACACCATGAACTGCCCTAAACTGCAAGCAAGTGTCCGGACTCGTTGAGCCAGAGGATTCTGTGAGGACCGTTCTGGGATGCCGTCTGTCAGAACACGAAATTGGCAGGGTTTAGGCTTAGGGTGTTGAGGGCAGGAGGGTGTTAGGATGTCCAGACCTTGAATCTGCAATCCAGCTCCTTGAATTAACCCTGCATGGAATACAGTCACTGGTCCTTCACACCTCTGTCCTACCTTCGGATTCTTGCATTTGAGAATGCTCCTTCTGCATGCTGGGCTGCTTTTGTAGGCTCCCAACTTCCATGCCACCATGAGCTGCAAAGTCAAGGCTCTGTAGGTACGGGGTTGTATCGCGCAGCCTCCCTGATAATTCAGATCTTCGATGAACTATGTCTATATGCTGCCACGTCTGGCAATCCTTACAGTGATCCGGTCTTCACATGTGCGATGAACTATTCCTACATGTCTCTACAGCTTCCTGGGAGTTGATCACGCCATTTCGCATTGCTACCATTCTTCTACATGCCATCGTAGCTCAGAAATGCCCTGCCTGGCTTGCAGGAGGGCCGACAGGAGCCAGCATGTGGGACCTGTAGACACGGACACGGAGCTTCGTTGCAGAGTTCTGACGGGCGGCAGAAACAATGTCGTTGGCAACTTTCTTCTCAGATCGCATTCACGTCCGGGATATTGTGCTGCAAGTTTGCAGTTTGCGCATGTGGCAAATGAATTAGATATAGGAGCTGACGCAAGAGCGTGACAGTCCCTGCCTATGCAAACGGGGGAACGAAGCGCCCTCCTGTACAGATAATAATCGGAAGTTCCTCTCTTTTTACATGGCCTTAAGTAATAATGCTCCAAAAGTTCACCATGCCCCTGAAGCTTTACACGGGTGGCAGGGTCTTTGAAGAGCAGCCCGTGCAGCCGGACGAGTACTGCCATGCAGACATGGGGACATACTCACACCAAGTGGCGCATCCAGCAGTGACCGGAGTGGAGGATGGGCTGCTTGCACCCTGAGAACATCCACGGCACTCGGGTGTGTACTGGTGCGACGGAGTCGGCACCCAACCACACCAGCTAGCACATCCGCCGGGGGTTGCTGGTGCGGGAGCTGGCACGGTGGCAGGTCCGCTGCCACCCTGAGCGCATCCTCGGCATTCGGGGGTGTACTGCTGGGATGCAGTCGGCACGTACTGACACCAGGTGGCGCAGCCCTGTCCAGGAGTGACTGGACTGTCCGGCCGCACGGGGGATCCACCGGAGCAGCCGTGGCAGCTCGGAGTGTACTGCCAAGATGCATGCGGGACCCATCTGCACCAGTTGACGCAAACTCCCTGCGTTCCATTCGCTGGCCGGCCACTGTCCGGTCCCACCGGTCGATCTCGTCCTGAGCAGCCACCACATTCGGGGGTGTACTGCCATGAGTTTTGCGGGACCCACTGGCACCAGCCCACGCAGTTTCCAACATCGCTTCCACTGTGCGGCAGGAAAGGTCCATTGAGCTCTTGCCCGAAGCAGCCATGGCAGCCATGAGTGAGGTTCCAGGATGCTGTGGGGACCCACTGGCACCAGTTCGAACAGCTCGCATTGCTTCCATTCACCGGCGCCGCAGGACCAACCGGCAGCGGGGAAGACACATTCCCAGAGCAGCTGCGGCAGTCCGGAGTGGTGTGCCAGGAGGCTCTTGGCACCCACTTGCAGTAGTCTGCACATTTGATGCTGGCCGGTGCCGCTGGCGTCCCAGAGGGGCCTGAAGAGCACGCACGGCACTCTGGCGTATATTGACGGGAAGCCAGCGGCACCCACTGGCACCAGCCCACACAAGTTCCATTCCCGATGACGGAGCTGCCCTGATCCGGGTGGGAGTTTGAGCAGTTGCGGCAGTCTGGGGTGTACTGCCAAGAAGGAGATGGGACCCACTGGCACCAACTCACGCAGCTTCCAGTCTGGATCGGTGCTGTTGGGCGTTCGACTGGTTGAGTGGGAGATCCTCCTGAGCAGCCGCGGCACTCCGGGGTGTACTGCCAGGAGCCCTGCGGCACCCAGCCACACCAGCTGGAGCAGGCAGTCGTGGTGGGCCTTGCAGGGCTGGTAGGGTTGGTGGTGGGCCTGTGTCCGGAACAGCCATGACAGTCGGGAGTGTACTGCCATGAGGGGCTTGGCACATAGGTGCACCAATCCACGCACCTGCCGTCGGTGGGCCTGGGTTGGGCCGGGGCCGGCTGACTGGCGGTGCCGGCGGTGCCTGAGCATCCTCGACAGTCAGGGGTGTACTGCCATGATGGGCCTGGCACCCACTGGCACCAGCTCACACAGGGGCCTTGGGATGCACCCCTCAAGGAAGGCTGCGCAGCATCGGGAAGCGCCGTGGTAGTCGTCACCAAAAGAAGGCAAGCTGCACGGAACGCCATGTTGCGGGAAGAGACACTCCAGCAAAAGCTCTGAAACGATCTTGAGTTTCAATCTCGCAGGTCTTCGCCCAGTGCTTCGGCTTTTCGATGCGCTGATTCTGCCACTGGACCGATAGTCATATATAATGAGATACTCACACCCATTCCGAGGCTGGCGCCACTTGGCCGACCGGGAGGCTCTCACCTCTGTCTTCCAGAGCAAGGCTTTGGGCTTTGAGCGGGGGGGTTAGCTTTGAGAGGGTGGTTAGGGTAGTTAGGGCATGTTTCATGGACAGTTGCTGTTCTTTGGGTGCGGCGGGCGGCGTTTCGAAGGTGGTTTGGAGGCAAATAATCCAATATGCACGCGGGGCCAGTGTGCAAGACAAAGATAACTTAGTTGGTATGAACTTGAAGCGCTTTGGAGCCTTTTTGAAGGTTGTGCTGAAAGATGTGTGACAGGGCAGAAGCCCTACTTCAACAATACACCGCTTAAGGCGCTGCAGGGAACCAGACTTTCCCAGAAGAGTGGAAGACACATGTTCGAAAACGTGCATACAACAGAGGTCATGGTACGGTTGTTAACAGAGAAAGGCGCTCCAATGCTGGCCTAAAGCTTTAGGCTTTGAGAAAGCCTGCCGAGTCCGTGCGTACAGTGCAGAGGGCGTGTGGCCAACAATATATGTCAGCATGGGGGCAGGTGTGCTTCACGAGAGCGCAACTCTGAGTAATTTGTCGATGTGGTCAATGTGGAGCGCGTACAGGTGCATACATGCACGCCGGAAGATGCAAAACATGCAGACACTTTCACCTGCCTACCTGCCGATCAACATGTCCAGCAGCCCAGCTGCCACCACACATACCTATAGACCTATAGGTGAATACGTACGCCACAAAATAAAACAGATCCACAAACCCCAAAGCCCTGAAGCAGCAGGAATTCCACACAAGTTTCGAAGACGCAGACGCACTTTTGTACACTGGGCCAGCTAGTACGAACAACACCCACATGCTGAACTTGTTGCGCTGCCTTTGATCAATATCCTTCAGCCTTGGCCCCGAAGCCCAGAACCTGAAACACATGCCATGGTGGTTACTCTAAGTCAGTAAAGGGCTTAGGGTTTAGGGTTTAGGGTTTATAGGCTTTAGGCTAGTCTAACTCAGTAACTCTTCATGTTCTCTTCCAAGAAATGCCTCTCTGATGCAGACCAGATGCATGCACCGTTGAAGGTGTCGCTGGCATTGTCGACCTCGCCACGAACAGACGAAACCCTGGAAGCTTTCCAAACTGTCAGCCCTGATTTTGTTGCACGTGCCAGCTTCTCAGTGAGAGAAGGCAACTTGCAAGGAGACTTCAACCTCAGCCCCGCTTGCTCCAAGTCGCCTCTCCGTTTCCTAGCTGACCCAACATATAATTGAGGCAGACAGCGTGAGTGGGTAAGCTATCCAGATTTCGTCAAACACCTGAGAGCCCACCCCAACCTAGCTGTGCCGCCTTTGCAAAACGAGTCTTAATCTTCAGCTTAGACCGTGGTCTTAGTATGTTTATTCTTATTTTTATTGTTAGTTATTGTTATTATAACTCTTGTTGTAAAACCTTCTACAAACTTCGGGCTACAACAATTTCGGTTTCCCGGCTCAACCACTGAGCCTCACACGAAGGTTTCGGATTTTATGGACTCTCTATAGCATAGGCTAGGGAGCCCGAACCACTCTGTGGGGTTCGGGGATGCCCGAGAACGAGCTCTAGACTCTCTGGACCGACTTTGCGGCTATGAGGATTGGAGTTTTCGGCTTGGGGCTGAGACCGGTAAGCCTTCAAAAGGATAGTTCCATCATCCTTACACCTGAGCCCTGCAGAAAGCAACTACAAGCAACAGCGGCGACACCGATTCCATCGTGCAACCGCGCAGTCTGAAACCGCACAGCGCCGCACACCAACAACACAACTCTCAACATCGGACTTGCAACTACGGACCTGAACCACCCACAAAGCCTGATCAACCCCTCAAGCCCAAGCCCGCGCTGCAAAACAACAGGGACACCCGGAACCCCCATATGTACTGTAGTCCCAATAAACCTCTGAAACTTGCGACCCGAAAGCCTCCAGCCCCAAACCAACCTCCAAAATCTAGCCCAAAACCCTACCAGTAGGACCTCTAAACCCTAAAAACTGCCCAAAACCCTCCCATCAACAAAAACAAACCACGAAAGAGGCCCCGATGCCTCCGGCTGCAAGCACGGAGCCAGGCAACGTGCTTCCGTCCAAACGCCACGCTCGCAGACCTCAAAAGGCTCAAGGTAAGGTTAGGTTAGGGGCTCGGGGTATTTATGGTTTGGCCTTCTGCTTCTAGGGCTGAATAGGAGCTTCTAGATTCTAGATCCGCTGTGAGGTGACGCAGCTTCTGCACGACGGATGGCATTGCATTTTCTGTTCATAACCCTTCCTGCTCACTCGACCGTGGTGCCAGAGCTACACCCCAACACCTGTAATGAAGGCTTCTCCAAAGTAGAGCGCCGGGTGTCACGGTGCCCGAATGACCCTCATTCAGGTACTCACATGAAATCACCCCTATACCCTGAAGCAGCCTAATATGCTGGGAAGCCTCTGTGGACCCAAAAACCTTGAGTGAGCCAGTTTAGACAGATCCTAAAAGGAACTATTGCTATCATCCATGCGCCCCATGGTACATGCTCAGCGGCCAGCGGGATTGCCTGTCTTGGCATAGCCGGCCTCGAGGCATAAACAATTACTTTTTTGAGGCGGCTATTCAAACTACCAAGTCTGGGCGTTTTTCACGGCGAATTGGGGCGGACACTGAGCCAGCAACGACAGCCTCAACCCTAAGCCTCGAGACTCGGAACCGCAGCTTCATGCGGAACGGGGCTGCTGAAGGAACCCCTGAAACGCGGGCCCCTGGATTTACCGACCCTATGCCCTATATCGCCTCGCACCGAAGCGAGCACACCGTTCCGGACACCACATTTACCTGGGCAGCGATCCCGGAGCCCTGCATCCCAGCTTGCTCAGCTTGGTCTTAGCCTCGTAGAGGGTTTGGTTTACGCAATTTGCGGGCTTGAAATTTCAGGTAGTGTATGGTTTGAAGGGTTAATCGCACGTGTTGTGATGATGCGAGCTGAAAAGGTCAGGCGTCTATGATGAGCTGTCCATCTGAAGAATATACACACATGTATGCATCTCCCTCTCTCTGTCTCTCTCTCACTCTCTGTCTCTCTCTCTCTCTATATATATATATATTTATTTATGTATTTATTTATTTATTGATTTAGATGTGTCTCGCTCTCTCTCTCTCTCTCTGTCTCTCTTGTGCTCTATCAGTCATGCTCTATCACAGCTCTCTGTCTGTGTATGTATCTATCTCTCTCTCTATCTCGGTATCTCTCGCTCTCTCTATCTATCTCTGTTTGCCTGCCAATGCTGTCTATCTCTGTGTGTGTGTGTGTGTGGCTCTGTTTGTCTGGGTGTGTCTCTTCGTGTGTCTCTGCGCGCTTCTCTGCGTGTGCCTGTGTGCCTGTGTCTCTCTCTGTCTCTGTGTGTGTGTGTCTCTCTGTGTGTGTGTGTCTATCTGTCTATCTGTCTGCCTGCCTGTCTGCCTGTATTCTGTCTCTGTGTGTGTGTGCGTGCGAGTGCACGTGTGCGCATGCGCGTGTGTTTGCCTAGTGGGGCCTCGTGCATCCGGCATCGCAGGAAACACCTTTTACCCCTTGGAGCATGAATACTAATTGCGACTGTGAATACACTGGGCCTGCCAATACTTGCCGTGGCTGCCGTCTGTGTCGTGACCAGCACCCCGAAAGCCTCTGCACTCTTAATTCAGGATGTGCGAGCCCTCTTAATGCAAAGTCGAGAGCTCCGAAATCCTAAATATGCCTTAAACTCAGTCTGGGGTTGAGAATTCCGATTTCCTTCAAGGCTTGAAAGCAAGGCCGTGCTGCAGTAGATGCACTGGGTCAGCAGCTGTCATCTTTTGAGCGACGAGCAACAACGAAGTGAGTCGGGTGAAGCGACTCCGAAGCTCTGTCTTGTGAGGTGAGACGAAAGCCTCAGATGTGGTGACAGTAGGCTGGCAACCACTGGGTGTCTGGATAAAACTGCTGCTTCATTTTGAGCGTATCTGGCTTCATGTGGTAGCATTCCCAGTCAGCACCACAATAACGACAATCGGCATTTGTAGTGCATGCTGTCTTCGATTCTTCCGGTGTGGTTGTCTCGCCGTGGCAGTGCCCCGTGTCCGAGAGTCCCTCCTTGACATGATCACGGTGCTCGGCCACATCGCCGACGTTCCCGCGCTGCTGCCCGACCTCGCGGCTCGCTTCCTCCACATTTCGCATTCCTGAAACAGGAAGGACCAGGAGAAGCATGATGATGGGCATCGCTCGAACCATGTCGAGAGAGCCGAGGAAATGAAAGGAATTTCTCAACAGCAACTGACAACTCGAGCATCAACTGGCTACGAGGTTCCAATGACTTGGTCCAACTTGCACCACAGCCGAAGCTTTCTTAGTGTGGTGTTGGGCTCTTGGGACGCAAGGTTTTCGGCTTTTCGGCTTACACTGATCAGGTTTGCAGTGCCGGTCATCAAGATGTTGCGGCGCAGGAGCCCACCTCTAAAACTACACCCCAATCCCCAAGCCGCTGAAATGCTTCCAGCGTTTGACTACACTGGCCTACTCCTGCCACCACACCTGAGGAGCACTTGATAGATTGGGATCATAACGAAGGTCCCAATTTGCAAACCCAACCCCCATTGGCCCAGCATACAATATACAACTTGTAAATGCCAATCAGCAGGGAACATCCATACCCAGCAGCCATCAGTGCTCTACGGCACAGCCATGGACGACTCAAGTGAAGCATCTGCGAACAGCGAGCCTCAAGAGGCCTGATCCGACACAACCGTCCCCATGAAATTACAGAGCAACACGAGAATGACTCTGGGAACAATCATTCTGCTATACTTCCCCTTCAGGCTATATACAACTTTGTAAGTTTAGGGGGGTGGGGTTTTAGATCTTGAGAAGAGTGTCTACGTTGAGTTTTGAAGGCGAGATGTCTCTGTGCTCCACAACCCCTACAGGTTCATACACGGAGGACTTCCGCGCGCAGGATCGGTATGAGTCAGTTTGTGTTATTACCCCCAAACAAGAAAGACACTAAGAGCTCTGACAAGGGTACAGAAACCCCAGTCCCTAATTACCTAATTCCCCGCTAACATGCATTTCTAAACCCTGTTTGCAAACCCAGCTATCCCCCTTCCCCCTCGCCCCCAAACCTCAACTGGAACTGTCACCCAGACCCAAATCCGTGAACCGGGCTGGGTTTCGGGCACAGTCCGCGACGTTCGTGGCGAAGGCCACGTCAGGGCCCGAGATGCACTTTGGAACACAGTCAGGGCCTCGTGCTGTGTTATTTTCGGAACCTTTTTTCCAAAGCTCCGAGTCTTCAAAACTCTGCGGGGCCTCGCAACGCAGGTACTGTCAGGACTGATGGTTTATAAGACTTGCACAGGCATAGGGTTTAAAGTTTCGGATTGTAACATGCCCTGCCCCTGAAGTCCTGCGTCCAAAAACCCAAAACCCTAAGATCCAATCTGGAACCCAACACAGGGGTCTTCATGATTGGAAAAGGGTTTCGGGTGGAGTTCGCCGCAGTTTTACAAGGCCCGGAAACGACTTCTGAACTCTCAAACCCCAGACCCTAAATCGTAAACCCAAGCGTTCATCTACCTCCACTTGACGACGCAGAAGGGTCCGGGACAGCCTATTGGGTGCACCCAAAACAACTCTCTTTAAGAGTGCCTTCCGGATATGAAAAAAAACCACAAAACACCCATACTAGACTATAGTATAGTATAGTATAGCATAGTATGGTATCCTCCTCAGGTGCCTTTGGGCGTCCCGGCCCTCCACTGGTTGCACCACGCCGTCGCGACAGCTCACCTCTTCGGTTCAGGGCTGTTGGCTTGGGGTCCATGGGGTATATAGGTATGCAGGCATGTATATGTAGGTATGTACGCATCTACATATGTAATTAAGTATGTACGAGTATGTGTACACTAATGCATACCTCCATGCATATTGTAGGTACAGTCGTCCGGCATGGTTAGTGATCTCATTTTTGCTATGCATTTCCCGCGAGGCCTGTAGCTGCAAGCCAAATTTGCCACCCCTCTTGTCTTGTGCATCTTGCAATGAGCCTCTTCACAGCTTCCGAGGCCTCATGGAAGGATTTCTCTCACACCCTCCATTGGAACTGGTCCGAGTGCGCCTACAATGAGATCACCTGGTGGACGCCCGCAGAGGAAAGCAGCCGACCATGACCCGGTCATTGCTATGCCTGCACCACCAACCGCTTTGAGGAAGTCGGCGTCTGATCTAGCTGCAGTGTCCGTGGTGCAGATCTGGCTGCGCACTGGAGTTGCTTTGGGACGGTGAAGAGTGACAAATGCCGTTCCTGCCAGGCCCATTGTACAAAGCCCGGCTGCGCGGCTCGGCATCTTGCTGTTCGCAGCCGTGTTCTGCATTTCTTCGGACCGGTGCGAAGGAACGCTGCAGGGCAAGCAAAGCCGTACACCACATGAGGGTTTCCGAAAATAGGCTATTATAAGGACCCCCAGAATGAGGTACCCCCTTATTTTCGGAAAGCCCCATATTGCTAACGGAGATCCCAGGCCGTAGAATAACCTGAAAGAAAGCCAAAGGACGACGATACCTAGCAGCATGGCCCGCAACATATGTGTTCCATAAACCCTACCAACCTAAATGTAAGATGCAACTCCCAATGAGAGCCCGCGCATCTAAGGAAAACAAGAACCCTGAACCCCCAGAGGAGTTCAACAAGAGAGAGCTAATTGAGATCGTGCCTCGGCGATATCCGGCGTAGATCCTTCTGGGCAAACCTTCGTTTCTCAAGGCCCAGAGCAAGACCACTCGAGTTGGGGGGTCGTAGGGTTTGGGTTTGGGGAGAAGTTTCGGGTTTTTGGGGCTTTTGGCGTGGAGGGTTTAGGGTTTCAGGAGTTTGGGATTTGGGATGTTCAAGGAGACATTTTGGGTCTCAGCTCTTCTCAGCTCTGCACAGGATTCAATTGGAGCTCAGCTCCGCAGGTTGAAGTTCTGACCTGCCTGTTGGATACGGAAGCCAACATGATAAGAGTTTGCAACCTCAACCGCTAGTGAAACAGGCTGCGTCGCAATAGGTGAGTAGGCAGAAGACCTCAAAAGCGCAATGCCAGAGTGGCGACCGCAGAGCCTGCCTTTGCCCTAACCCCAAACAAGTGCTATACCCTGAAGCCGATAGCAACAGAGCGACTCTTGAACAAGCAACCGAATTTCTCACTCCGTCCGCTCCTGAATCTTGCAAACTTACCACCTGTGAAACTAACTGGCTGAAGCTGGCGAGGAGCGACATTGCAGCTTTCCCCATGTAGGAGCTGGCCATCAGCCTTAGGGCCCATGGTTTGAGCCAATGATGCGCATTTATCGGCACCCCTCTGCAAAGTAGTGACTAAGTAGCGTGGTGCGTTTATGCATCAAATGTTGATTTGGCTCAGCATCTCATGTCAAGCAAAGCCTGCAACCCTGCAACACAGCCGGACACAGCCAGTGTCTGCCGAACAGAGGTCGATGCATCAGCATCGACGGACAACGCAGCCACACCAAGGGATCTGGGTCGCCTGCTCCACAAAACGACGCAGCGTCGCAGCCCTGGTAGCAGCGGGGCACCTGAGGCGTAGCGCTGCCAGGCAGGGATGACTGAGACAGAAATCGTAAACCCTAAACTTCAGTGGCCTAATGTAGGGGCCTTAATAATTAGAATAGGGCTTTGGGGGTTCCTTATTGTGATTATAGTATAAAATCTCCCCAAACCCTATCCTAATTATTAAGGCTCCTATATTAATCACACATGAGGCTTCCTGCTTCTTGGGGCTGGTGCGCAGGTTGCTCTGAATGAACCACAGGCCCCTCTTAGTAATCGAGACTTCGGAGACCGCCTCAGTTCCCACCGAGCTGCCCTATTCCCTGCTTTCTCCCACAAGGGCTTTTGGGTTCAGGTTGTGGTCTTCGGATGTCTTCGGACCCTGATGCCGACACCCCGGGTGCTCCACGCCGAAGAGCAGCTCCAGGGGAAGAAGCGCCTGCCAAGTGAGAAGAAGAAAAAGGATGCAATTTTTCTTCTTCGGGGTTTCTTGGGATCTTCTGATTTCGTGGAAAGTTTGCAGAGACAAACTGAAGCAACGATGGCTCAGAACAACACCGCACCCGCCCCACCTGGTGGTAGAAGATGCCATGAAGGCAAAGGAAGAAGCCACTTGCGCGAGTGCCTGCCTCGATCTAATCCGAGCACTGACACGACTGCGAACGTCGGCTGCTTTGTTGTCGCTGCTGGTATTACCTACCTTATCCTGAAGTCCCACGGTGGTTGGGCCAACCTTCGAACGTTACATGAAGGTCCTAGTAGATGCAACTGGTTACCAGTTCAGACGACTTACAAAAGAAATTTGTGCCTTCACATGTTGGGCTTCTGGCTTGCAGCGTTTAGGTCTACGGAGTCTACAGTAGCGAGCTGAGGGCCGAGGGTAAGACATGGTAGCAATCGCAAGAGCAGCAAGACTGTAATAAGAAGGTTCGGTCAATATGCTACAGAGTGCAACCGAACATACTCGTGTGGTTAATCGAAAAACAAAACGACAGAAGCTGCATTCTTTGCAGTGCGGGCCGTGAACATCTATAATAAGCAGCAGCACCTCTAATGTCCATCCAGGATGTCCGTCGAGTCAGGAAGCCAAAGAGGCCCCCAAGGTACCCCCCACGTAGGAACCCCTAGAAGGCCGAAGTTTGTGCCGTAGAAGCCCGTCACACCGGCGCCGACACCGACCCAAAATCCCAGACCCGGGCCTGGGTCTCTTTAAAGGGCTTAGGACATCGAACCTGAACCTGAAAGCCTGGAAAATACGAAAGAAGCCCTCCACCCCCAATTCTGTTAAGAACTCCTTCGAGCCACTGGCCGGGCAATTCAGGTCACACTGGCTTCCGTGTTGAAGTCCCTGGCAGCTTTCCTGGCCTTGCCACATGGCCACCGCCGTAAGGACTAGTAGAAGCAGCTGCAGCAGCAGTAGAAGTAGTAGCGGGTAGTAGCAGTAGTAGTAGTAGTTGAGTATGATGATGAAGCTGCTCCTGTTGTTGCTGTTCCTGCTGTTGCTGTTGCTGTTGCTGCTGCTATTGCTGTTGCTGTTGCTGTTGTTGCTGCTTTTGTTGTTGTTGGTAGTGGTGGTACTGCTCTTGCTCTTGCTCTTTTCCATCTGCTACTACCGTCGTACCACTACTTAACACCACTGCTGCTACTACCGCAGCAGCAGCAGCAGCAGCAGCAGCAGCAGCAGCAGCAGCAGCGCAGCAATCACCAGCACCAGCACCAGCACCAGCAGCACCACCACCACCACCACCACCAACAACAACAACAACAAACACAACAAACACAACAAACACAACAAACACAACAAACACAACAAACACAACAAACACAACAAACACAACAAACACAGCAAACACAACAAACACAACAACAACAACAACAACCAACAACAACAACAACAACCAACAACACCAACAACACCAACAACAACCAACAACAACCAACAACAACCAACAACAACCAACAACAACAACACCAACGACAACAACAACAACAACCAACAACAACCAACAACAACCAACAACAACCAACAACAACCAACAACAACCAACAACAGCCACAACAACAACAACAAACACAACAACAAACACAACAACAAGCACAACAACAAACACAACAACAAACACAACAACAAACACAACAACAAACACAACAACAAACACAACAACACACACAACAACAAACACACACAACAACAAACACAACAAACACAACAAACACAACAACAACAACAACAACAACGACAACAACAACAACAACAGAAACAACAACAACAACAACAACAACAACAACAACAACCACAACGACAACGACAACGACAACAACACCACCAACAACAACAACAAAAACAAAGACAAAGATCAACACCACAACACTAAGATGCAATAAGCTATCATCATCAAGCAGTGTCACCATCACCTTCGCAATAAACACGCCACTAGTCACCATCACCACGAAGCAGGTGCAGCACTTTGGCAAGAAACGGCCACGGATGATATGGAATCACAACACTTGGCACATGTAGCGGGCGTTTGAAACCGAAGTGGGGCTGTGCAGGCATTCACGTGCACTTGTATCGGAGCATGGCGGCAACTTAATTCATGCAGCCGGCTCTGTTCAAGATTGAAACATGCCATCGTTGGGAAAGCTGAATTCAGCTTTGTCTTCCGAAGGCTCAGATCTACAGTTACAGCTTGAGATCCTACGACACTGTATGACTCCTTTGGGCATCTCCCAGACATCGCTGGCTACTGCAAGCGCGCAAAAGTGCTATGCTGTGCGAAACCTGCGCGCAGCAGGAGCCTCAGCAAATGGGATCTGCCAGGTCATGTTGAAACAGAAAGGTTGCCCGCACGGTCCATTGGTGTGCCGTCAACAAGGTAGCCAACATCGGCAGCATAAACTGAAGCCGGCAATGGCGAGCCCGGCGCGTGCATGTCCGGCCCAATGCTCTCGGGATGATTGATAGCGTTACCGGCGCGATTGAGGGGCGTACCGTCTGGGAGGTAGCCGACAGAGTTCACGAAGTTGGCACGGGGCAGCGGAGATCCTGGAGCATGTCTGTCCGGTCCAATGGTCTCCGGATGGTTGATGGCATTCCCAGCACGATTCAGCGCCGTGCCGTCTGGAAGGTAGCCCACATCATTGCAAAACTCGAGGTCTGCATAAGCATCCTTCTGGAAACTGTACTCGAACTTGCGGCCGTGCATGGCGATTCCCTGGCTCATGGGGGTTGATGCCTGCGGGGGTGCCGATGAAGCCATGCGAGGTGGCGCGGCGGTGGCTGCAGCTGCAGGTGGCGGGGTGGCAGCCATGCCCTTGACGGAGTTGTTGCCAGCCGCGGCAAGAGGTGTGCCATCCGCCAGGTAGCCAATGTCTGCGAGGTAGGTTGAAGGAGGCAACGGCGAACCGGCTATGTGCTGGTCTGGCTGCATCGCCTCCGGGTGATTAATAGCATTGCCAGCAGCATTCATTGCAGTCCCATCTGGCAAATAGCCCACGGAGTTCACGAACTTGGCACGGGGTAGAGGGGAGCCAGCAACATGCCTGTCCGCTCCGATCGTCTCCGGGTGGTTGACGGCATTTCCTGCTTTGTTCAGCGGGGTACCGTCCGGCAAGTAGCCGACGTCATTGGTGAACTCCAGGTCTGCGTAGGCATCCCTCTGGAAGGCATAAGTCGCATCTTTCATAGCTGTCTTCGACTTTTTCTTCCCGCGACGAACGGCACCCAGCACCGGGACCATCAACCCAGCGCAGGCGACTGGAAGGGAGCTTTGCGAGATCTTTCCTGGTACGGGCTTAGCCTCTGCCTGGGCAGGCAGGCCCATGCGGCCTGTGGCGCCTGCGGTGGGAGCGATGGCGAACGCCACAGAACTGCCAGCACCACTCAAAGCCATGATTGATTGCAGGCAGGCCAGGTAGGCGGGATGCAAGGCAGGATGCAAGGCAAATGCGAGTTGGCTTTGAACACGGCAAACACTCTAGCCAGAACGGCTTTCGATCAATGCTCACCACGTGTGCCCCCCGGATGAATGCCGCTCGTGGTAAAACAGTCATTACATGTCAGGCAACTTCGAAACACAGTGCCTTGCAATACAAACGCAGCAAGACGACTGACCCACGGCTGAGCCGAGTGACCCGCAAAGTCCTTGAGTGGAGTTGAACCGGGCGCTGTCGATAACTTGATTGAGGCTTTCTCCTCAGTGTGTAACAGCCAGCTGTTTGCCTTGAGCTTAAGCAGACCGCACAAATCAAAAGCACGAGAATGCGGTGTCTGAACAGCAGGGGCAGTCACGGGAAGAACTTTCAGAATCACTCTCAACATCAGATGTCGTGAGCCGGTCATTGGAACCAGCTCCCACAGTTTCAGGGCAAAGCATCGGGATTCAAAGTTCTGCAAATCCGGAAATGCCATGTTGAAGCCTTATGGCACAGTGAGTTGGGGCAAGCATCCAGGAGCATCGTCGGAGGCTCCCAGGCACTCGGCAAAGTCTCTCTCCTCGTCCCCAATGGAACCCGCAACACCGGCTGATCCAAGCACAGCCAACGCTACCATCCTAAATCTTGCCCTAAGTCCTGTCCGGACAGAACAGATGTGCCCATAAACACATGCGCGCGCGTGTGCGCACACGGGAGAGCTTCTTGCTTTAGCGCCTCTTTCTTTTCCGCAGCTTAATTACTGCAGTCCCGGTGATGGCTGAGGCAAGACAGCATGGAACGGGGCAAAATAACCAACCGAGTAACCACCAAACCCTATAGGGCCCCATTCCTCTGCTTCATCCGTCTCCACTGTCGAGCTCAAACACCAAAAAGTCCCGAACCAAACCGCTCATACCACACAAGGAGTACCCATAAACTTCTCCGAGCTCAACCACTTGGGTAGGCACACGGTTGGGGACACAGCCTAGCGCTCGCATGCAACACACCTCATTCTGTGTCTCCACGAAACCGCAACATAGGGTTCCGGCTATCAGTAGTCTCGCGATTCACAACTCTACCGAAAGGTGAGAAGAGGGTTTGGAATATCGCAAGCTCGGAAATCCATGCGAGGCGTTGCTGTTTGGAACCCGTCTCCTCGTATCTCTCCTGGTCCGAGTCGAGGCTGCATGTGCCCCGGTAAGCCACGCCCATGTCCCTGAGCACTTTGATTTAGCTTGTAAGCTCTTTCGAATGAGTTGCCTCTCCACGTCCTTGCAATCGGAGGCGTTCCTTATCCAGCCTCTACATGCGAACAGAGTTGAATGTCGCGTCAATGTCCCGTCCTTGTCAGATCTTTAACCTCGTTACCTCACATCGATTGACACGTATTTGCCGACATGTGCTAGTGCAGTGTATCATGTGATTCCTGTATACCACACGATATTTTCGCTTATCATGGAACGGTGCCATTAAGGCCGCTACGTGATGTCACGCCATGCTTTGCCTCTTGGTTGCCTCTTGCGCCCGAGGCGCTGCACAGAGCAGGGCACCGGTTTCCAGGGCAACGCCGCCCAGGCCCGGAGCTGCGCAGCCTCCCGGGAGCCGGGAGACGTTCTTGGCTTCGTGGCTTTGCCCCTTACCCGAAGGCTTTCAGTCTGGTCCGGTCTGCGCCTTGTACCATGTTCTCAAATTATGGTGTCTCTCCCATGACTATAGATGCGCCGTCAGGGCTCTCGCCTCCGAGGTTGCCCCGAAGCTTTGAACGAAGCCTCTCGGATTTAGACAAATTCAGACAGAAAGGCACCGACAGGAGAAGTTCAGGGCTTTGGACTTCTGAGATTTTCCTATGAGGCATCGATGACTGTGACATTGGTATGAATAAACGTTCCAAGCATTTTTAGCGAGCATGTTTTTTCTGCCGTAGACCTCATAACAAGCTCAAACGTGCGGTCAGCTGGTTTGGGCGGACAGTCAGGCAGCCGATGTTTCACTGGTGAGTTCTTCGGCGCATCGCCTTTGCCCACGGACAGCTACAAAGACAGCGGTACTCTCCTTGTGTTTGACGGGAAAGGTGAAGAAGCGTTCGTAATTGGTGGAGCTGGTGTGGTAATTAACAATGAATATATAAACATCACTGATCATCATCGCCCTCAGCCAGGGCATTGCGAGCCTAACACACATCCGGGCATTCAGCATCCTTATGGCCTCCGTCCTGTACACGTAGATTCTAGATCGTCCGGCCACAAAAGGTCTACGAGTCTACGATGTCCCCGAGGAGCCGAAGGCTGCCATGACAGAGAGGAGAAGTGCGAGAAAAGCAGCGATGTCCTCGGGGTCGTGAGAAAAGTATGCGACTCTCACATGTATGTATGCGTATATACAGCATGCACATACATATACATATACATATACATATACATATACATATACATATACATATACATATACATATACATATACATATACATATACATATACATACATACATGTATACATACATACATGTATACATGGATTACATACGGACACACATACCTACATGCCTTTACATGGACGAGCTGTAGATGTGCACACGTATCGTGTGTTGTCGACGTGTATGCACTTAAGCCATCGAGCTGTCACACACTCCAGCTCCATAGGTACTGTCGGCCAGCTGCGAACATCGGCGAACATGTCATGTGCGCGGCTTTCAGTCAGGACCAGGTGCAACAGTGTCACAGAGGATTCAATCCGAAATGGCCTCGAGGTCTACGACCCAAGAAGAAAAGAACGATGGACAATTCCGTCTTCCCAGGGTCCGGAAGCCATGCGCGAAGGGGATCCCATGCCATTGGCAGCCTAGGGCTTCTGCTTTCTAGTGTTTCGATCTGCTTGCACAGAGGCAAAGCTATATTCCAAGCTTCTCGGGCAGCATGCAGGATCACAAGCCCCGCCTCCTACCGCTGCGTCAGATGCGCTTCACAGCTCCGGGCCATGGGCGCCAAGCAGTTAATTAAATCTTACTTCATCCGTAGCCGACCGGTCGCCTTGGTTCGACCTGGCCCTGATGGTTCACTGCAATAAAAACAGCTGCCTCACGAAATCTCACGAACATGACAATGCGTTATTAAGAAGGCTCCCGAATTACTCAAAATGATGTTCGCAGTCGTCTTAAAGCCGTTGGCAAACAGGCAGCCCGTTCTTTGACAGGCTCTTGAGCAGACAAGTACAAGCATCCTAGCAAGTACAGTGTGACAAACGACACAGAATCCACTTCTTCCTCACAGCTAGCATGCCCGGGTCTGGGGCATCAACATGCATCAACTCTCACACGCCGAACTTGATCATTGCGTTCATGCCCACCTCCAGTCTGGCAGCCTCGACGCTCGGCTGCACAGAAGGCGTGGATCCCAGGCCCTCGTGTCGGCAGCAGTGAGAGCGATCTGGATTGGAGACACAGTTCCCGAGTGCAAAACTCTCCAAACTTGGCAATCATTAATTTGTCTTGACATAACCTAAGCCTTCTCTGCATCTCCAACGTCGCCAGCCCTCGCTGCCCTTGCAAAAAGCCCGCCACAATGCTTCTTCAAACGTCGTGAGCTCTGAAGAACCTAAACATCTAAAGAGAAGCTAAGCCTCCCCTGAAAACTCTCACATCTCAAATTACTGTTGCTGGAGACAGCATGCAAGGCTCGGCGAGGTGTTTGCCATCTCTCTTCGATCGCCCGAAGTGCTGTGGGGTTGGAACGCTGCCCGACCGCCGCACTCTAGAGTCGCGAATGGTGAGGGCCCTAAGCTACCAAAGAATGGGTTGGAGCTTGACACGGTTTGTCAACCCCGGAAACCCAGCACACTTGAAACATTTAGGAGCCTGATCCCGAGAATGACGTCCGCGTTGACAACTTGATACGACCTTTTCTTGAAGCAGCTCTACAGCTATGTGTAAACACTCTGCAAGAAGCTTTCGGCCCCAATGTGTCCAGTGTGACCATGGCCACTCACGCGCGGCAATTCCGCAGCCAAGGAGGGCGCTAGGACCTGAGCACAACGAAGCGGCGACAGCCCTAGGCTCCATCTGCCTCATGTTGTGGTCCCTTACAAAATCTGAACTTAGGGCCTTCGGGGGGTGCCTGCTCTCAACCCCCACAAGACCGGGTTTGAGGCCCCACTACACACACCCAGATCCCTTGGAACCAGGCGAGCTGCTCGAGTTTGCAACGAAGCAGTCCCCACACCCGGCGCTTCAGGCCCACGACCCCTGCCACCAGCCGGCGCTTTTTCCCGAAGCCACTTGTTTCAGGTGACCAGTTCGACTCCAATCTCGCGACTTTCTGCCCGGAAATTCGGCGGCACACCGGTGCAGCCGCCAGATCGGGCAGCGCTCGGTCCCCGAGCGCATGCGCCCTGTGAGTCCTCGTTTCACGCGAGCTTAGCTTGCAAGCCTTGCTTGAGCAATGGGGCGGACGGCAGTGCCGCCGACTCTGAGGGGACTCGTTTGGAGGGTCACTCGGAAAATGCACGTGTTTCGCGGCTATTCTCCACAGTACGGCGGGTTTCGGGCAGTTTCGGGGCACCCCTAACGGACCCCAATGACCCCAATAGAGCATCGGCCCGGGGCATCATGTGTACCCGGAACGCGCGCAGCTGCCTACAGAGATTGAATCATTGAATTTTTTGCCTCCCGCCTGGCTAGGACGATACCTACGATGCAGGGTCTGACAATGGCAAACTAGAGAAAGAAGCACGATGCTTAGCAACGGCGATACAACACATCAAAACAGGCAACGTTGACCTGCAGAACGGCCATCACGGCCAGGAATA